TTTCCCAGAACTTTACAAAGAATTGTTCTATTTTTTCCTAAACTGATTTTTAAAATTGGTTTTTCACAGCTGCTTTCTTGTGATTCAGAACAAAGGAATTGAAATGGCAACATTTTTCCTGAAACACAAATTCCCATTTCCTGCCCAGTCCCTGTCAGATTTGGGATTAGGTTGAACACTACAGGGTTTGGAGGCTCTGGGGGATTTGAAAACATGAGTCCTGTAGCTTCTGGTGAAACAAGATGCTGTGCCCTCCTGGAGCTGCTGCCTTTCAATGGGCTGGGCTCTGTACACCAGGCTGGTTTCTACCTCTAGCCATTTTTTTCTCAGATCACCTTCGCCAGCACTTACTACCATAGTTTTGCAGATTGATTTTTGCTTGGCTGACATGTTTAGTGGCGCTCATCATTTATGCTCACAATTGCCATTTATTTTGGTGGATTAACACAAACATTGCTGTAGTTACAGTGTAGCAGTGCCACATAAGCTGACACTTGCTTATTGTCAGTCTGTTCTGTGATACCTTTTCCAATAACAAGGGTTTGTCAAAAGGACCTAGCTAGCCCATGGCTGTAATCCAGGACTGTCCAACTTCTGAGCGGCTAGGGGCCACACATCACATGCAATTCCCCCCAATCCCTCCCACACACACATGCACACACATATCGCTAGTGCCCTCCAGAGGCACTAGTGGCAGCAGTTGGCAGGGTGATGACAAGGAGAATGGTGCCAGGGCGGGAGTCAGTAGGCTGCAAATGTGAATCCCTGATGGGCTGCATGCAGCCCATGGGCCATGAGTTGGCCAGCCCTGCTCTAAGCTATTGATAGTGCATATTTTTATGGGGGAGTATGAGAAGAAAGGCCTTCTCTGGTATGCTTGGCTTTCGGATGGTCGTTACCAGCATTAGAGATTTCCCTGTGCTCTTGTGAGGAGCTCTCCCTTAACAAATTCGGAGAACAAAGGCACATGTAGTCCATCCCCTGCTTTCTAGGATTTCCTCTGGGCAATTCTGCATTGGGATGGCTTTCACTGCACACTTCTGATGCTGCCCTGCAAACGGAGCAGAATGAGGGCACTTTATTGTGAGTAGAAGCCAGGGGAAGAGGAATGGTGGTTAGGGAGAATTTTTGTTTTCAAGGTTATATAAGCAGTTCAATACCTCTGTGTGTGGATTTATATGCCCTGTAGTACACTTGGAATATAACAGAAGGCTGTGCGTGTAGATATGCACTGCTGCCCATCAGCGGGGTGTGTGTGTGCATGGATCAAAGTCCATTATTCGAATACAAAGAGGCATGCATAAGCATGGCTTGTTGTGGGAGCTGGAGAAACGTTTCACTGAGGGGGAAAAAGAGAAAAGAAAAAACAATGTGATTTGACAATCCTGCCTTTCACAGCTAGGGTTTAGTGAGGAATCCTTTCAACCAGGACAGGTGAGTCTCCAAAAGAACGCACTCCTCCAGTCCCATTACAGGCCAGGCCAGAGGATGAGCAAATAAAAAGAGCATGCACGTGACCCTCCAAACAGGCCTGCTTGGACAGGAAGGAGGGGGGGGTCCCCGTCCCCATTCCTGCGATGCATAGACTAGTTTATTCAAAGGCAATTCCTGCACATGTCTGGGCCAGCCACAAGCATGCCGACGTGCTGCCTTTCATTTCCAGCTTCTTGCTTTCTTTCTGCCCCTTTCTCCCCTCGCCTGCCTCCCCACTCACCCACCACAGAGTGAATGGAGCAGTCTGTGGCCTGGTGTCATCTGAGCTCCCAAATAATCCTCCCCCTCATTACTCTGGAGAAAAGCTGCTTATGCAATTTCTGCTGTTCTCTTGTTTGCACGCTTGCCAGGAGGAACTACTATTCCTATTCCTATTACCCGTAAGTAATTGTCATTCTCTCTCTCTCTCTCTCTCTCTCTCTCTCTCTTTCTCTCTCTCTCGCTCGCTCTGCTGCTCTCTGCTCCAACAAGTTTCTTTTTCTGCCAAGTAAATTTAAGTGCCTCTTTGGACTGTGAGGGGGAAAAAATGCTTCTGAAGTATGTGGTGGCTTCCAGAAGGCACTGTAAACACGCAGGGTCAGATTTCCAAGGAGCTCCACTCCCTTTGAGGCTGCAGGAAAGAGGCCAGATTTTTAAAATGGCTCGACATTACAGGAAAATAAGGCGTAGCAGGTTGGATGCCTGTGGTCCAGCCAGCCCTAGATCTCATCTCCCTTGGCGTCCAGCATCACATGCTTCCAGTAGAGGCCAAAGCGCCCATTGGGCAGAACTGCCCCCCTCTCCCCAGTTAGACCTCACTTTGATTTCTAACAGAGATTGGCTTCTGCCCTGAAGCAGAAGATTTAATGTCATCCCCCAAATTTGCAGTGCATGAGCCCTATTTGAAAATGAGCCCATGAGCATCCCAAAGGGATCCCCTGAGGGCCAGAAGATCTGGCTCCTTGGTTAGGTGCCTAAGTGAGAGCTCAGCTTTGAGAAAATATGGCCTCAATCGTGGCTGCTGAGCATATGACTTCCCCCTGTTGAACTCCTGGGAAAATCTGGCCCAGAGGGCCTCATTCACCTCGGCAGCCAATGGGACTTCACCAGAGATGGATTTGACCCCCCCCTCGGGGCTTCTTGTTTTGATATTAACTTTATTTTGAGATACTGGCCCAGAATTATGGCCTTGAAGGTCACATCTGCACTGTGTCCCAGCCTGTCCCAGGAGAGACGCTCCTACACGGGGCACACCATGTGCTCCTGTTCACTCCTGCCATGCCTGCAAATGTGGCAGTGGAGCTGCATTGAGAGTGCCTCTTCCCAACCCCCGTGGCTGTTCTCAAGACCTCTCTCCAGCGTGGTTACCCCCAAAGCAGCTTGTCCACCACATTTCCAGGTTGGCTGCATGAATGTGGGAGGGGGCCAACGCATGCTGGGAGCATCGCTCCCTGGGCACGGCCGTTCTCCAAGCACCAGATCGTGTTGTAATGGCTCCTTGCCATGTAGTAACTACTGCACATGACAGGGAAATTCTTGCCTTGTACCTATTGAACGTGGTACGTTGTGCCGCTGAAGATGTTGGGGGAATGATGTTGTAAATACTGCAGGAGGGAAGCTCTGTTATACTGCAAGTGTCCTGCAAGCTCACCTCTTGCAACTGAAAGCTTGTCCTGCAGTAATTTCAACCCTTCACACTGTCTCAGGACCTGGCCCACACCTCATGCTCTATTAGCAGTGATCCCATCGTCCCTCTCCTTCCCTGCAGGAAGTCGCTCATTGACAGAGCTCTCTGGTGGGGTGGAGGGTGGGGGGCTGTATCTCTGCGGTGCTGCCCTCCTTCTCCACTTGGTCTGGCCGGGGGGATTACAGACAGGTTCAGAGAGTTGGGTGACTTAAAAACCAGATGTAGGCTCAGCAGGGGAGGGCAGGGTAAGGGAAATGCTGGAATACAATTCTGGATCCATATCTGGATCTTGTATATGGCTGTTTTATTTAGCAGCCCTCCTAATCAGTGACCCACACAAGCTTTGAATGGTACAAAATCCATGTCTGAGCCTTGCAGTTCAGGCACCTCTGTCAGTCTAATAAGCCTCAGCTGGGCTAGGCAGTGCTTTCAGTGAGAAGAGGGAGTGTTTGCTGAACCTACCACCTACAAGATTACAGCCTGTCATAATCCAGAGCAGGCCATATTATTCCTATCCTTGTCTCAGTTCATCTGGCTATGGTGTCCGTGCTGGGAAGTCTCAGGCTATGACTTTGTGGGAATGAAGTCCCAACGAATAACGCCTTGAAATCAAGCTGTTTCCTGCACAGCATGGGCCACCCAGTCCAGCCAGGAGGAAGATGCTCACAAACAAGTGAGACAGGCTAGTGCCTCACTCATGCCCCCTTTCCCCTTAGCTCCCCTGTTCTCCATGGACTGCAGCTAATATTTCATTTGATAGCTGTTATGGTAAAGAAGATGCTCACTGCAGTGTGCATTTGCTGATCGCTCATTGATCAGGGGTAAATCAGTGGAGTAAGACCAGGAATTATTACTTTTTGACACTTTGCTATATTGCGTCCTCAAATGGTAGCGCAGGTAGCAAACAGCTTTTCTTACAAGTTATGATCTTCAGGAGGAAGGGATGCAGCTTGTTTGGAAGATGAGGTTTGGTAGTGAGGTAATCGGCTTTGCCAGTGGGCACTGGGTGAGGAAGGCAGAGGCTGTGCTTTGTTTATGGGTGACTCAGGTTATCGTCAGTAGATATTAAGGTCAAAGTCTGATAATAACAGGGACCTCAACTTAGCCTTAGATGTTCATATTTAATGCTGTGAATTGATGCCCTCCCTTTTAGTCCCCAGAAAATTGACTAGGAAACATTTTGGATTTCAACTCCAGGGTCACCTGGGTGACTGGAAATGCTCACCTTTGACTCTTACAGGGGCTGCTTACTGCTTGGTGCTTTTGGATATTAGGCCAGAACTGTTGGTGCAAATATGGATGTAAAGCCCTGATGGGAGGCCTTCAGCTTTGAAAAATCTGATTGGCTTTTGTTTTGTTGAATGAACTAGATGCCATCGCAGTGGATGAGCATCAGTTGCATAAATGAGCATTCAGAAGGGACTCTGGATTTTGCATGTCTTGTTTGAAGCACTGGAAAGAGGGAGGGGTTCTCAGCATGGGGGAATGCCCTGCACCCTCTGCAAATCAGGCCTTCTCCAGGCACCTGCCATTGAGGCACTCAGACTCACTAGTCACTTTGGCAAATGTGGGTATGAACCTGATTTTCAGATGGGCTGCATTCCTGGGCAGGTTCCCCCACCCCATTTGTGTAACTGCAGGTGACATGTTGGGAGCATTGATCATTGCTGGAACATTTTACAAGCCAACAGTGCAAGCAATCAACCGAGATTCCTCCATGGCATAAAACATGCCTGCTGCAAAATCTCAGGCTGCCTCTGAGATTCAGGCTTGTGGTTTTTAGAGCAGTACCTGTGTCACCCTGGTTTAGCATAACGTGCATCTACTTTTCCTCCTATAGAAAACCTGTCAACATGACCAAGGCTACCATTAACTATCGCCATGAGAAGACCCACATGATGAGCGCTATTGACCGGAGCTTCACGGACCAGAGCACCCTGCAGGAGGATGAGCGGCTGGGCCTGTCCTTCATGGATACCCACAACTACAGTAACAGAGGTGAGGCCTGGGCCAGTAAACTGTGGCAGTCTTCGGTGCTGTCTTCCCTGCTTGCAGGGTTCATTAGGTTTCTTTTTAAATCTACACCATGCTGCTGTAAGTGGTTGACAAATCAGGGCAGCAGTAGGGTGGTCTTTGCAGGGTATCATCCAGTGTGTTAGTTCCTCCAGGCAGATGCCATTGATTTCCAGCTGAGCATGAGCCAGACCCCATACTGCTCTGCCCATGCAGCGGTCCTTCACTGAACTGAGCTTGACATCAGTTGTGTTACAATAGCTCTTAGATATCCCAGCAGAGATCATTTTATGCTGCGTGCAGCACTCTCACATAGGCTATAAACACATGTCATTTTTGTAGTGGGGTCTGCTGTGGCAGTGTGTCCTACCACAGCTAATTCAGTTGATTGCCAGAGACAGATGTCACCTGGGGCCATTGTCCTGCAGGATCAGGCCTCTCTTGCTTCAGTGACTTCAGGGGCCCAATCCTGGAGAACAGTGGCCCTGGGTGCCTGGCCCAGACCTGGGGGCAACCCAGGGAACACTGTGTATTCCCTGCTCCAGACTTGCAGATGTACTCCCTGGGATCTCTTGCAGGTGAATTCCTGGGGTGCACATCTGCAGGCACAGCCCAGGGAACCCCATGGCATTGTCTTGCTCTGCAGAATGAAATATATATGCCCTGGGATCTCCTTCAGGGGAATTCCTGAGGTGCACATCTGCAAGTGAGGAGTGGGGAATGCATGGGGTTCCCTGGAGCACCCCTAAGTCTGATCCAGGCACCCGGGGCCATTGTCCCATGGGATTGGGCCCCGAAGCCCTGGGAATGTCTGCCTGGGGTGGCTGGAGACTGTGGTCAGCTCCAGGCTGCCCGCACTCTTGTGCTGTAAACAAGCTGACATCCACTGGAAAAAGCTGGCACATACTATTGCTAGTAATCACAGTGCCACCATTTTGGGCATTTGTAGCATGGCAAGAGGCAGGGATGACTGTTCACTCAGGTTTTATGCCTCTATATACATTTTTATAGCGTCACAAGGGTGACCTCTGCAGCTGTAGTGGAAGTGAGTTTCTCCCTTGAGGGTCTTATAGTCTAAAT